GAGAGAGAGAGAATGCCAGTCTGTACCATCCACCTGGTGAACCTCGTGCCATGAAAATAGTTGAGTCAAACTGTAGATAAGGCAAGCATGGTTCAATTCTGTATGCGTGTGTTCAAGTGACCACAGCTTTCCTGGTTAATACACCTCAGGCAATTTATCTTCCAGATTTACCCCCATTTCCTGTAACCCACATGAACACACACCCTCTCCTGCTTAGCACACCTGCACACACTACAGCAGAGATGATAAGCCAGGTGTCTTGCACAAGATCTCTTGCACACACACCTCACACTTAGTTAGAGAGTGTAGCTGCTAATCCTGCCGAATGTACACTAAAGGCTTGGGGTCAATAAGATAAAAAAAAAAAAAAGGAAATGGATACTTTTATTCAGCAAGAATGCATTAAATTGATCAAAATTGGCCATAAAGACATTTTATAATGTTAAAAAAAGATTATAAATGTTTTTTTTAAAAACATTTTATTAATCAAAGAACAATGAATCAAAATTTCAGAAAAATATTAAGCAGCACAACTGTTTTCATCATCAATGATAATAAGAAAAAGGAGCACCAAATCAGCATATTAGAATGATTTCTGAAGGATCATGTGACACTGAAGACTGGACTAATGATGCTGAAAATTTACTTTGCCATCACGGGAATAAATCATATTTTAAAATATATTAAAACAGAAAATGGTTCGTTTAAATTGTAATGATTTTTCACAATATTGCTATTTTTAACAGTTTTTTTTTGGTCAAATAAATGCAATATGCAAATATTTGCATTTAAAGGGGTCATATGATGCTGCTAAAAAGAACATTATTTTGTGTATTTGGTGTAATGAAATGTGTTAATGCGGTTTAAGGTTAAAAAAACACATTAAAGAACAATGAATCAAAATTTCAGAAAAATATTAAGCAGCACAACTGTTTTCATCATCAATGATAATAAGAAAAAGGAGCACCAAATCAGCATATTAGAATGATTTCTGAAGGATCATGTGACACTGAAGACTGGACTAATGATGCTGAAACTTTTGATGCTTTACTTTGCCATCACGGGAATAAATCATATTTTAAAATATATTAAAACAGAAAATGGTTCGTTTAAATTGTAATGATTTTTCACAATATTGCTATTTTTAACAGTCCATGATGATCAGAGGCCAATGGGCAAATTTGGCCAGAATGCCGAGGTCACACCTCTACTCTTTTCGAAAGACATCCTGGGATTTTTAATGACCACAGAGAGTCAGGACCTCGGTTTAACTTCTCATCCGAAGGACGGTGCTTGTTGACAGTATAGTGTCCCCGTCACTATACTGGGGCTTTAGGACCCACACAGACCTCAGGGTGAGCACCACCCTCACTAACACCTCTTCCAACAGCAACCTAGTTTTCCCAGGAGGTCTCCCATCCAGGTACTGATCAGGCTCAGCCCTGCTTAGCTTCAGTGGGCAACCAGTCTTGGGCTACAGGGTGATATGTCTGCCGTACATTTACATTTTAAATGTAAATGTAAACATCCCTCTGTCTCTAGCTGTCCTGCTTCGAAGGAGCTCTGTTTATGTTAAACAGCATAATTTTCAAGTTGCTGTTTACTTTATGCCTTGTGCATTCATGTGAAGCTCTGCTCTTTGTGAATGTTTGTGCATTTCTGTTAATTGAGTAAAATGACCTCCCTTGGTAAATACATCTGCTGGGTGTGTATATTCAAGATGTAATGCCTTGTGTTTTAATGTTTTACACAGTCCGCGTGTGTTTGTGTGTATCTGTGTGCAAGGGTGGAGCCCATGACTTAGGTGTTCAGGAATGAGACTCAAGTGCAATTTTGGTGTACAGTGTACATTATTAGGGTCAGACCCTGATCAATGCAGACCACCGATGTCAGTAACAATTCCACTTTTGTTTTGTTGTGTTAGAGACCTCTTTAGAATCATTTTCCCTTTAAAGCAGGATGCCATTGAAGTTTTTTTTATGGGATACAAGTAGCAGTACTGGATTATTTGGATTCGTAAGACATGTTCAAAAGGAAAAAATAAATGGTTTTAAAAGACTTATAGTATGTCCTTTTTAAAATAATTGGCCCTGGATTTAAATCCAAACTTAATGCCCTTTCACACTAAGAGCGATATCTATAAAGGTAACTATAGTGCACTGCAGTTATGTTGTCTGCCTCTTTAAAGGGTTAGTTCACTTCCAGAATAAAAATTTCCTGATAATTTACTTAACCCTATGTCATCCAAGATGTTCATGTCTTTCTTTCTTCAGTCGCAAAAAAATGAAGGTTTTTGAGGAAAACATTCCAAGATTTTTCTCCATATAATGGACTTCAATATGGTGGCCAACGGGCTGAAGGTCCAAATTGCAGTGTCAATGCAGCTTCAAAGGGCTCTACACGATCCCAGCTGAGGATCAAGGGTCTTATCTAGCAAAACGATCTGTAATTTTCTTAAAAAAAATAAAAATGTATAGTTGGATTGAACCAACTGAAAAATAGTGATCAGGTAATTGACCCTTCACAAAGACCCGCCGCCGTTACTGTTGCTATGTCCGACAAGCAATGGCATTCTCACACCACACATCATGTTCTCACGCAGTGAAAAATGCATTGCGGAGCAGAGAGGAAACTGACCACACGCCGACAGACAAGCAGGTTACTTTTAGTATGGAAGTCTCAGCTTTCTAATTTTGTAATTTAAGAAATTCAAACAACAAATACTGTTTTGTGGCTCCTTAAAGGTGCAATAGGTGATTGTCTTCAGAAATTTTTTTTTGTTATGCTGGTTGAAAGTCTCTTCACATCCCGATAGCAATCATTAAGTTAAGTGGTCTACATGTATTTATATATTCAATGGAAGGCATAGGACCAAGAAATGTTCGTCCAATCAAAACGTTCTGTCCGAGCATTTTAATTGGCTTTCCTACCTGTCTGTCAACATAAGTATTTGCATACCTCTGCACACCCGGCTCGCACAGACAGGATACGTCATCAGCGTGTTCACGCACGCTGTGCAGACAGAGTGAGAATGGCAGACAAACATCAACAACCCGATCTTCCTACAAGACTGGTATTGTAGTACTTTTACTAACTGTACTATAAAGTTTTCTCACCGGTGAATGACACATGATATAGCCCAGCAGTTCCCAATTCCAGTCCTCGTTCCCCCACGCTCTGCATATTTTGCATGTCTAGCTTAGTTAACACACCCGATTCAGATAACCAGCTCGTTAGAAGTGAGCTACGTGCATGAACTGTGTTTCGATCGATATGATCCCTACACAGTGTTCATTGCTCCCTACTCCCTGAGCAGGAGAAATACGTTGAAGTTTAATTAACTTCTCCTTCACGGATTTGCACTGCGCAGCGTCTGGATGCGAGGGTGCGAGGACTGGAATTGGGAACCGCTGATGTAGCCTATTGTAATGTTGTCTCTGGTATTCTGGTCTGTGAGCATATTGTGTTCAGGGGGCATGCCTTTGGACGGCGATTGCAGGGAGGGAGGGACATTCGCTTTCAGTGCTATCAGGCTAAACCTCTTTACTAGTTATAGCAAGAAATAAACATGAACGAACATTAGAAGGTATCTTGTTTCAACCACAGATGATGTCAATACACACCATTTTTCAAGTTCAAGTCCACCAACGTTAATCTACTCTCCTGTCTGGTTTGTTTGTTTGTTTGGACAAAATGGTATTGGATTCTGCGTTATGATTGGTCAGATAGGCTGTCAATCAAACTCCTGGCAAAAAGTCAATTTCTCAGAACTGCTTTCTGCGTTACTGAGGTCTAAGGTTGAATTTCCAGCATTGCCAGACTTGAAGAAAGGTTGATTGTTTAATAGTAGATTAGCCTATCCTTTTTTACTTTTCTGTAACTTCTGCTTTTCCCATAGAGATGCAGCATTTGAGCGTTTCATGATACTGAATGAAAAAATAATTTGCCTTTCGTATGGCATATATAAAAATGTGTGAAGAAGTCTACAGATGACCGTTGATATGTTTCGAAGGGTGTGAATACTAGTGAGCAATTCCATTTAGGGTTTGGTCAAGTGTCTAGGTAATTTACAAACTTGACAAAAACAAGCTTTAGAAAACAATGACTCACGTGAATTATTTCTGTTTTGTGGCAGGCTGCGCAATGTCATCTGGCCGTGAGTCTGTAGGGGATCTGATTCCCCCAGATATGCTGCAGGTGTTCCATGAGGAGTGGCAGGGTGGCAGGGGCAAACGGGGCAGGAGAAGGGCAGGATCCTTCAGCCGTGCTTTCAAGTGGTTGAAGAGCCAGCGCAGGAAAACTCACCGACGCACTACAGAGATTCATGGAGACCTGCTCGCCACTGGATCACCTGTAGAACTACCAAAATCTACACTTATAACAGGTAATACTTTTGCTAACATGTACTCCTAACAACAGTGTTTCCTTAGATGTCCATTATTCTTCAGTGGTGTAAGGGTTTTTGTTTACTAGTGGGCCTGTTTCTTTTTTTCTTTCTTGCTTGAAAGACTTGTTTTTATATTAGCCACTAGTTATTAGAGCTGTCAAAATTGCTGAAAAACTAAATTCGAATTTTGTACTTTAATATTATCAAAATTCGAATTGTATTCGAATTTAAAATGCATAATTTCAGTTAGGGTGAAGAAAAGCTTTTGGCTTCTCTCCTGAGGCCACATCATTCAAAGCATAAGATAACATGACTATTATGTGAAAAAAAAGTGCATAATGTTTATAAACCAATTATAATTAAGTTACTTAAACAACTATAAACAAAACAGCATCATATATGTATGCATAGTTTAATACAAAGGGCGGAAAGCCAATCACACAGAGGACATTTTTCATTTAAAAACATGAGATGCAGTGGAATGGGGAAAAACCCGCCATAAAGTCTCGATTATGTTTTTTTCAAAGTTAAACTTGCATTAATTTTACATGGCTTTCTAAACATGCGGCTCTTTTGTGCGAGAC